ATCTTCATCCTCAGACCCATCTTCATCTTCATCCTCATCTTCATCTTCATCTTTATCTTCATCTTTATTCTCAGCCCCTTCATCATCCCCATCTTCATCCTCATCCTCATCTTCATCCTTCCTCATCATCATCCTCATCATCATCCCCATCTTCACCCCCTTCCTCATCCTCATTCCCTTCCTCATCTTCATCCCATTCCTCATCCTCAGACCCATCTTCATCCCTTCATCATCATCATCCTCATCATCAGCCCCATCTTCATCCCCTTCCTCATCCTCATCCCCTTCCTCATCAGCCTCATCTTCATCCCCTTCCTCATCCTCAGACCCATCTTCAGCCCTTCATCGTCATCATCTTCATCTCCATCTCCTTCCTCATCCTCAGCCGCATCTTCAGCCCCTTCCTCATCATCATCCCCATCTTCATCCCCTTCCTCAGCCTCATCTTCATTCTCTTCCTCATCCTCAGACCCATCTTCATCTCCCTCCTCATCCTCATCCTCATCTTCACCTCTTCCTCATCCTCAGCCCCGTCTTCATCCCTTCATCATCCTCAGATCCATCTTCATCCCATCTCCATCTTCACTCCTTCATCATCATCATCAGACCCATCTTCATCCCCTTCCTGAACCCCAAAATTCCTCGGCCTGGGAGCGGCTCCGTGGCCTCCTCCAGCAGCTCCACGTCCTTTCCATGCAGAAAAATCCCAATTTCGGACCCTTTCCGTGCCCACCCACCAGGCTCCTCCCTGGAGGGGAATTATCTGGAATTCTCACCCCAAATCCCACAAGTTTTGCCCCGAGGAGTCGCCCGGGAATCCTCCGGGAAGTGAATGACAAGGAAAATCCCCTGGGAGAGCATCTTTCCTCACCAGAACCCGCCTCTCCCAGCCCAGAGGCTCATTAAGGTTAATTAACTCGTTAATTAACCCTCCCAGGCCCCGCCTGGGGTTTCCCCTCGCCGGGTTTTACGGAACATGGGTCGTTTTTCCCAGGTTTTATGGAAGTTTTCCCTCTCCCTGTTGGACGTTCTCCCAGTTCCCCAATTCCAGGTGCCCTCCAACGTCCAAACCTTCCCCTTTTCCCTTCCTTCCCTGAGGAAAACCAGGATTAAAACCAGGAAAGGACCCTCTGGAAGGAAGTTGTGACGTCCAAACCTTCTCCTTTTCCCTTCCTTCCCCAGGGAAAACCAGGATTAAAACCGGGAAAGGACCCTCTGGAAGGAAGGAAGGAAGATTCCATC